TCTTGGAAACCCTATAAAGGGTCTCTATGATTTGGAACCAACTGGAAGACACACAACCACCAACCAGTCACCAGTGATCTCTTAAAATAGGATCAATACTTTCTTATTCTTTAACATGAGACCTATGTCATAAGAACTGACACTTATGTGCAAACCTGAAAGAATTTAAATCTTGATTCCACAGAAACACAGCACCCACTGAAGTGTTTTAGCATTTGTTTTAAATAGATAGGGCCCATGCAGCTATGAATGTATGAACTACTTGGCACTCATCCAGTTGCTGAAGAACAGCATGTTATTTTAGTTGAGACCCTGGAATTTTATTTGTGGGAAACTAAGTCTATGTTATAGAGAAATATTGCCAAGATTTCCAAAGTTTCTAGAGCTTGCTTTTTTTGATAAAAATGGCATTAGTACATTTTTATATACTCTAATTTTCTAATTCATTATGTTGATGGATGATAGGTTTTTCTATAATCAGTTTAAATTCATATCAATTTCAATATTGGTAACTAATTGTGATTAGTCTTCAAAAATGAGTCATGGAGCTGTCTTTAAGACACTTAAGCTCAAGAGAACTCGCCGTTAATTATTTTATTAATGAGCTACTCCCTATCTTATAAAGTCAGCCAACTGCTAATTTAACTGGATTTTTGAAAGTGTGTTTGTTTCCATTTTTAAGACACACAATGTATTCACAATTACTTGTAAACTTTTAAACTAACTGCTATTTTTATGAGTCTTAGGGCAGTCCTGGTATGGGATCACAGGATAAGCACTCAACCTCAGGGTCAGTTTGAACTGCAAAATTGGCGGTTCAAACTCACAAGCTACTTCTTGGAAACCCTTTGTAGGGTCATTATGAGTTTGAACTGATTCAACAGCACTTAATAGCAACAGAGCAGCATGGTATTGTGTTGTTAATTTGGATTGTTCTTTAAGAAGTTATAGCCTCTACTGCATAAGTTGCTGTTAAGTGCTGTTGAGTCAGTTCAAACTCACAGTGACCTGTGTAGACTTTCCAAGGAGTAGCTGGTGGGTTTAAACTGTCTCCCGTGTTCTCAGTCCAGTGTTGATCCTACAGTACCACACCAGCATAAAATTTTCCATGATATGACTTGTTGCCATTATTAGATTTGGGAGCCAAATTTCATTTTAATTTAATAAAAGGCTGCTCTCTTCAAGATCTGTAAGCAGCTCCCTTCAAGTTTTGTGCCACTGACATCATGTGGTTTTTGTTGCTATTAAAGTGCAATTGAGTTGATTTCATCTCATAACGACCCTGTAAGGGTTTAATATCTGGTCATTTTAAACCACCAACCTTGTATTTAGCAATCCACTGCTTATCCTACAGGGTCACACAGGGAAAATACATTGTGCTGAGTGTTGTTGTTAGGTGTCATCCAGTGGGTTCCAGCCCATAACAACCCTATGCACAACAGAATGAAAGACTTCCTGAGCCTGCGCCATCCTCACAATTGTTAAGCTTGATCCCACTGCATCTGCCACTATGCCAATCTGTCTCATTGCGGGTCTCCCTCTTTTTCACTGTCCCTCCACTTTACCAAGCATGATGTTTTTCTCCAGAGACTGGTCCCCTCCTGATAATATGTTTGAAGGATGAGAGACAAAGTCTTGCTATCCTGGCTTCTGAGGAGCCTTCTGGCTGTACTTCTTACAATGCAGATTTGTTTGTTCTTTGGGTGGTCCATGCTACTTCCAATATTCACCTCCAACACCATAGTTCAAACGCATCAGTTCTTCTGTGGTCGTCCTTATTCATTGTCCATCTTTCACATGCATATGAGGCTATTGAAAATACCATGGTTTGGGTCAGGTGCACCTTAGTCCTCAAACTGACATCTTTGCTCTTAAACACTTTAAAGTGGTTGTGCAACAGATTTGGCTAATACCAGACATCATTTGATATCTTGACTGCTGTTTCCATGAGTCCTGATAGTGAATCCAAGCATAGTAAAGTCTTTGATAACTTCAATCTTTTCTCCATTTATCACGATGTTATTTACTGGTCCAGTTGTGAGGATTTCTGTTTTCTTTACATTGATGTGTAACCCATACTGAAGGCTGTAGTCTTTGATCTTCATTACTAAGGATTTTAACTCCTCTTCACTTTCAATAAGCAAGGTAGTATCATCAGCATATCGCATGTTGTTAATGAGTCTTCTTGTAATCCTGATGCCATGTTCTTCTTCTTATAATCCAGCTTTTCAAATTATTTGCTCAGCATACAGATTGAATAAGTATGTGTTGAATAATATTGTGTTGTGTAAGTTTCTTTAAATGTCTCAAGTCCAGTAATTGATTATACACTCTAGACCGCAAGGTCAGTTTGAACTGCAAAGTAAATAGCTCAACTCACCAGTTGCTCCTTGGAAACCCAATACAGGATCTCTATGAGTCAAAATTGACTTGATGACACTTCTCAACAACAACACTAGAAGATAGGCAGACAATTCTTTAGTTAATGAACAGCTTCAAAGAAACCATTGTTTTGTCTTTGTTTGGCTCAGTGTAAAGCAATGAAAAGAGTCTGTAAGTGTAAGCATTAAATAATATTATTTATTGTTGTTAAGTGCTATTGACTTAGTTCTGACTCAGCGACCCTGTGTTACATTTCTGAGGAGTGGCTGGTGAGTTTGAACCACTAACCTTGCAGTTAGCAATCTAGTGTAGCATCACTCCAGGAGAGACAGTTAATCCCTGTAACTTCAGATGCCAATTGTGATCACTTCCTTTACCTGAAAGATAAAGATCCAACTGGAAAAAACATAATTTACAAAAAGTTCTAGTAGCACATAATTGTAAGCACTGGCCAACTCACAAAATAAGTGATGGTTTAAACGCACCAGCTCCTCTATACAGAGTCACTATGAGTTGAAATGGAATCAACGACACTTAACAACAGCAACCACAATTTAAAGCAATATGTTTTTAATTTGAAGATGATATCACAGAAACATTACAATAAGGTCACATTTCCAGTAATCAAACTGTTGGTTCTTAAATCTACTTGAATCATTTATTATAACTGTATGTTTTAATTATTTGGAAATTTCTTCTTTATAACTACTTAATATTGGCTTCCACCACTCGTCTGTCAGTTTGTTGTACTGTGGTGGCTTGTGAGTTGCTGTGATTCTGAAAGCTATGCCACGGGTATTTTAAATACCAGCAGGGTCACCCATGGTCGACAGGTTTCAGATGAGCTTCCTCCAGACTAAGACAGACTTGGAAGAAGGAGTGACGAACTACTTCCAAATATTTAGTTACTGAAAACCTTATGAATAGCAGAGAAACACTGTCAGATATAGTGATGAAAAATGAGCCCCTCAGGTTGGAAGGCACTCAAAATGCGACTGGGAAGAGCTGCCTCCTCAGAGTAGACTTGACGGTGATGACGAGAATGCAGTAAAGCCCATGGGAGAAAGTCTACGGAACCTTCATTTCCTGATGGGGCACAACTCAAAATGAAGAGAAACAGCTGTAAACATTCATTGAAAATCAGAACATGGAATGTACAAAGTATGAATCTGGGAAAATTGGAAGTGGTCAAAAATGAATGGAACGCATAAACATCGATATCTTAGGCATTAGTAAGCTAAAATGGACTGGTATTAGCTATTTTGATTATGACAACCACATGGTTTACTATGCTGGGAATGAAAAATTGAAGAGGAATGGTGTTGCATTCATTGTCAAAAAGAACATATCCAGATCAGTCAAGAGGTACAACGCCGTCTGTGATAGGATAATTTCCATGCGCCTACAGGGAAGTCCAGTTACTACGACTATTATTCAAATTGACACACCAACCACTAAAGCCAGTGAAGATGAAATCAAAGAAATCTACCAACTTCTTCAATCTGAAAATAATCAAACATGCAATCAAGATGTATTGATCATTATTGGTGATTGGAATGCAAAGGTTGGGAGCAAAGAGGAAGGATCAGTAGTTGGAAAATATGAAATGATGCTGGAGATCACATGATTGAATTCTGAAAAATCAATGATTTGTTCATTTCAAATACCTTCTTTAGACAGCATAAGACATGATTATACACACATGGGCAATGCCAGATGGAATACACAGAAAGCAAATTGACTATATCTGCGGAAACAGACGATGGAAAAGCTCCATATCACCAGTCAAAACAAGGCCAGGGGCAGACTGTG